TCTTCTGAACACATTTAATTTTCTACATCCTCATAAAAATTACTTTTACAGATTTCAGAGGTGTGTGGCAAAGAGCAAATGTAACTGCTGGCATGACATAGATCCTGGCAAGGGGATTGTCCCTGCACTGTGCTTACTGTGCTGTGGCCTGGGCCAGGCCTGTGATGTGGGGAAAAGCATCTGCTTCGTGAACATCTGGATGTGCAAAGTGCACAGCTGGAGCAAAGACAAAGCAGAGGGCCTGGCTCTTCCAGCGGGTGAGTGAGCAGTGTATCACCCAGACAGGTGAAACTCTCAGGTGAAGACTGTCCTCTGTGTGAGGCTCAAGTCCTGCAATTTCCAAATCAGTGATTACAAATCAAATCTGTGCCTACAGACTGGTGACAATGTATGCAGTATCTAGACTGGCTTTCTTCTGAGAGCTGCTGTATTTTCAGTCTGAGCATGGCTTATGTTCTCTTTCTTTTCCTTCTCCTGGTGTTGGGTTTTCCTCATTTTAAATCTTTTATCAATATTGTAAGTCTTGATAGAAGTGGACTTTTCTTCCTTTTTGCTTTGTTTCCCTCTGGATTCCAGTACCTTTCACATACACTTCTGTTTGGATTGAGGTAAAATTTGTGTCTGACTGGGAGTAACAGCAACATTTTTAGTTCTACTTCATCTTGATCTTGCTAGTCTGCATCTCCAGTTTCTGCTCTGTGTGGGCTCCAACATTCATTTCTGTGTTTAACCTTTTAAGTTTCTACACTGTGAAGCTGAAGACTTTGTTTTAGTAGTTGAATTCCATTTCCTGTGAATTCTTTTTAGTGCTAATAGATGAGCAAATCTCAACTTGTAAATGTGACTGTCATTATATTTTATCTTACTGTTTTTTGGCATACATAGCTTCGAGCAGGGCATGTATTTACATTCTCTAGAAAGAAGAATGTTATACACTTACTATGCATAAGGTCAGCAAAACCAGCAACAAGTAAGCAATAAAATAATTTATTTTAGTACTTTATTTAGTACCTAAATTTATTAGTGCATTTTTGCAAATACATGAAATTCCCCTTCAATTAAGATGACTAATATTAAGTTATAGGAAATAATTTATGAGATATCAAGATAGTTACAACCATGATTGTTATCATTAATTTATCAACCACTATATGTTGTTTATTCTCATTAAAATACCAGTACAGGAATACTATCTTCTTTATGACCTGGTATTCATAACCCTTAATAAAGTGAAGATAGGATGACCTTAAGAAAGAATAGTTACCTGTTCAGGCAAGGAATAATTTCACGCAATTCGGGATACATCTGTTTTGCTTGTTATTTGCAAGAACAAATTTGGTTTGATCCTCGTTATTAAATGAGGAGGTGTGAAGGTGTATTTTCTAATTAGTAATATAGGTTATGTATAAAAATATTATGTGTATATTAATGCTATACATAGTGGTAGTTGTAACCAAAGCTACCAAGAAGTTTTCAGTACTCTTGTAGTGTAACACTATTCATAGTCAATGTGCTCTGAAGCTTGAGCGTGGTGAATTTGTTCCTTGACTTTGCCAGTCACTTCTTGGGTTGTATCAGGCGACTTCATTTACCTCTCTGAATCACTTTCTTCTTCTCTGCTAAGAGATACCTGAAATATGTGAACATTTATAGACTGTAGAGAATAAAAGTCTAGCCCTACGGTATCTCTGAGGGTTTTTGAAGTATCTCACTTGTGATAAATGGAAGTGCTTTGACTTTGAGTGTCATTAGAATCTTGTCAGAATGACTTAGGCTTGTATTTATTTAGTTATAGCAAGCAAATACATTTTTTCATTCAATGTGTTTGCAGAATCCAGCCAAAGAGACCCAAACCTTTGAAGGAGACTTCTTGGTATTGTCAATTGCAAAAAACTAATATAGACAGCAACCACTAATTTTGCATCTACAATTATTTGCAGATGTGAAGTGAACCATGTTCCCAGTAAATGTACAAGGCTTGAAATGTTTACATTTATCTGTTCAGGTAACACTGAATACAGCCACTGAGAGATGTGAAAGCATCAGCCAGATCAAGCCTTCTTAAAACCAGGGAACTTAGAATATGCCTTGCACAAACTGTCAGAGTAAGGACCTGAATGATCTACGTCTCATCAGGAGGTTTTGGTAGTTTTGTGGAGGAAAGGTGTTGCACTCCTGAATGCAGAGAATGTGTTAATCTCAAAACAATAGATGTCCTACCCAGAAAAATTTATTAAAAACATATCCATTCGTTCAATGGAGCTGAATCAGAAATCAGAGAATTTTTTCTTTTTTTGTTCATTCATGAGAAATCATGTTCAAATATATAAACATTAGAATTTACTTATTTGTTCTTGGATGTCACAAATACTTGCACAGAGTACTTGGGGGAAAAATATATGAGAAATGGAAACTACTCATCCCAAACCAGTCCCATTTTCTCTAAACAGAGAAGCACAGACCCAGAACTCACCTCTGACCCTCTTTTCCCAGAAAACACTGCTATTACTTCAGTTTCTCAACAACAGTTTGCTTCCAGTACAAGAAGTAGACAGTAGGCTTGAAGATGTGTCCAGCAGTTCCACTGGGCAGCACTGTGTACTCAGGGGGTGCCCTGGAACTGGAACAAGCACATGTGCAAACACAGATGCCAAGGCTCTGATGGGGCAGTGATGCCTGGTGTGTCCCCCTGTGAGATGTGCCCTGCAGGGCCCACAGCCTGCTGGGGTGCTCTCTCTGGCTGGGCAGGCACTTTGGGTCTCTGCCTGCTGTGGGGCTGCCATACACTGCATTCCATGGTGTGATCTTTATCCCAGCTCCTCCTCAGAGATGAGCATTAAATGTATGCAGAAATACAAGCCTGAAGCCTTTACAATCTGTTTAGGTCTCGATTGCATAAATTAGTCTTCCCTGTACTATTTGAGGCTGTAAAAAGTCTCAAGCAGTATTTCATTGTCTGTATTTTCGTGTCTGTATAGATAATGATGGCCAGAAAAACAATAAAGGGAAACATATGCTTTGTACTGGAATTTTATCTGTTGCATATTATGGCAAAATGGTGTCTTGGTGAACATACTGCTGTGGTGATGAACTTTCATTTCATTAAATGAAATGCACCATATGGTGCAAAATGCTGCCACTCTACTTGTTTGTTTTGCATATACTTATATCTTCTTCTTTTTGATACTGGGTGAGGGTGGAAAAGGTATTGTCGGTTAATATAAAATTTCTAATTTATAATACTAGACCTGCATTGTAGTGGATAAATGTTTGCATCCATTAATAATTAAACTTACAGTTTTTCTTGGGAATGAATTATGTCTTAATATTTACATCTGTAACTTTGCATTTGCAAGGACAAACATGAATGCTAGGCTGAAGGTTGCCTGAAAATCTGGCCTTGCATATTCTATGAAAAATATTCTCACATTTCTCACAGGTGAATAAACTGCACGCATGGATGAATCTAGTTAATTCAATGGTTTAATAAACCTAGAATCCCAATGAGGTTATAACAAATCCCCCATGCATCTTGGAGTTATGAGAAAGATGTATAAAATTATATGCAAGCAGAGGAGCTCTTTCTAAATTCGAGGAGTCTTTTGCACATTATGTTTTTGTTCTGTTCTCTACATGAAATAACTTCTCACCTGTGCTCTGTCATGATAAAGTATTAGATCAATTATTTTTTGAGGGCAATATCTGGGATCAATTTGCATCTGTCTATTTTTTTTTCCATTTAGATAGTTTATTTTTGAAACAATTAGGTAGCACAAAGACGGATGCCTTTCTCTTAATTTCCCTGTGAGAAAGATGGCTGGCATGAAGTGGAAATTTCTACCATTCTCTTGTCAGAGAGCAGCAATTTGAAGCTGCCCCATTTTCAGGTGTTAAAGACTTGTGGATTCTGGATAGAACCAATTCTCTAGGTACAAACACAGGAATAGCAAGTTGACTAGGACTGATTGATTTAGCAAAGCAGCTGGAACTAATATAACTGAATAAATCTATGATGAATGCCAGTTTTAGGGTCACTGTACTCTGAACTATAATCTGGACAACTAAGCAATCTAAAGCCTGGTCAGTTCTTGGATGAGAAATCTTCCAGGAAAGAAGTATCAGACAGAAAATGGTAATTCCATAGTAGGTTTCTTTTGCTGTGTTTTGATACAGGAGTAAAATCCTAGGCTAGGGATTAGGTTGGCCTTTTTCAGTATCATGAATGTGTTGTTATTTTTACAGGCATACCCAAGGAGATGACACCCATTCCAAGAAACCTCAATATGTTGGAAGGGGTCTATATTTTCTGGTGAAAAATAAAGCAGATGCTGCAACTGCATGTTATCATGGAGAGATCCTACCGTGTGCTCAGGAAAAGGAATCTGTTGTTCTTCACAGCTTCTGAAATGGGGAACAAGTTCTGCCTTCATTTTACACTGAGTTAAGTAAAAAATTGCAGGTAAAGTAATGCTGAGTGCTGTAAATCTCTCTCAAAGATGCACGCATAATTTTAGAAATATACTTGGAATACAGTAGCAGAAACTTACACTCAAATTTTCATTTAGTAGGAGTCTAGAGGAAAAAATAATGAAGCTGAAGAAAAGCACAATTGATAAGACTTCACTGAATGTATTCCTGTATAAAATTATAATTCCATTAATAGGTGAGGGAGGATAAAATGCACAAAATGGTAACTAAATATGTGGAAAGCCATATACTCTGCTCTGGTTTAGAAGATCCCAAGTATATGAAATTGAAATGTAGCTGAGCTGATTGTGATCCTATATTCATTATACTTCAGCGCTGCTGGCAGAACCCCTTCTAACCAAACGAGCATAACATGCTTACTTAGCACTTTCACAAAGCCTTGAGTTTATAATCACAATTAAAGCACTTATTTTGCAATAATTATACAATCTGCATTGGTCTGTGATAATTTAAGAAAATTTTAATTCCCCATTTTAATATTAGAAATCCACTTAGTTATAGGTAGTCTCCAGCTTTGTATGTCACCTGTATTAGCATTTATATTCCTCACTGAGTCTGCTCAGTGTACTCTTCTGTTCATTCCATGAACATACTTCTAAAATATATCTGCAATCTCATGTAGGCCAGAGCTGGCAACCAGCAAAGCATTTCATTTCTCTCTGCCTTATCTCATTTAGCCCACAAACGAGAGCAAGTGTGAACAGCAAACTTTCTACATGATGGAGGGTCAGGGCGACAGCCTGAAGAGGCAGCAGCTTGATGTCATCAGCATCTTCATAGTACTCATTTAGAATCCTATTTCTTTTTAGAAATGAAGACCTGGTTTCCCTACCCACTTCTGGAGGCTGGGTACCGTCCTGCAAAACTTGCTTTCTCAGCAGAAAGAGGTTCTCCAAGAAAGCAGTGCCCTAAATTCTGCTGTTCACCATCTGAAAGATGCAGCCAGGTAGAAGTATTTCTCTCAGGAATTTTTATTTTGCTGATTAATTGTTTTCCACACTAGGCTATTATGTTGGTAAAATATTTATAACCATTATGATGAAAATTTCCAGGAAATGAATTCACATAGTCCTGCTAGCTTCAGTTTGTTTTTTTTTTTTTTTCCCCCAGAACTTTGAAAGACTGCTGTGGTTTTGGCTTGCCTCTCTAGTCTTGCTATTCTTTTCTGTCACACTCAGTAATTGGCCTAATAAAAGGCAGTAACAAGAATTTATTACACCTTGGGCGATACTTGAAACAAACTTTATTTGCTGGAGCAGCACTTTTTATCTACTCGCTGCTGTATATTTTGACAGTCCTTCTAAATATTAAATCTGACTTTATTAAAAGTTAAATCTTGGTGCTTTTTTTTGTGATTGCTGCTGTTTTTGCAGTTTCTTAAGCAGACTAGTACATATATAAACATATCTTTTTAATGAAGCTTTTGGAGAAATAATGTAAGCTGTGCCTCTATCTGCTCATTGCCAGAATCCACAAAAAAGGTACAAATTAAAGACCAGCTTCTATGATACCTTGTAATTTAGTTTTGGAATAATGCATGTGATTAATTGAGAGAACAAAGATGAGAACTATACAACTTTTCATACCTTTTTCAAGGCTGGGATTTGATGAAATCTTCCTCAAGCAAATAATGCCCTTAACATTTTAAGTTTGCAAAGTGACAGCAGTAAAATTAAAGCCAGGTTAGATTGTTATGATGTAATTTCCACTTTTGAATCTGGGTTTCTTCCAGATACTGAATGGTAAAACAATAAACTTTTTTTGTTTGTTTGCTTTCTAAAAAGGCCTTAAGAAATAGCAATACGTCATCCTGGAACTGTTTATGCAGGAATTTTTATTCTTTGAAATCTTCCAGTGTTAAAGCAACAAGAAAACATTTATAATGTCCTTTGGTGGAATCTTATTACACTTGTTATATATGTAAACTGATATTCTTTGATGCCAGCACGTTGCCCATACAGAGAAATCTCTGCACAATTAAATGAAAGGAAAAAGAAAAGGACTAAATAAAAAGTAATAATTTTCTCTTACCTGATTAGAATTAAATACATTAATAAATTGTCTGGTAACACAAATAGGCAATAATACAAAAAATCTACATTGTACATTATTTCAAGAAAAATAACTTCATTTGAATACAAAAGGATAAATACACTTTTTGTCCTATAGCCACTCTTGTACAGTAGGTAAACACAGCATCTTACTGATGCAGTGCTGCTAAGGTATACAAGGATATGACTGGCTTGAGTTTTATTGAGGGGGCTGTTAACACATGTGCATCACTAACATCAGACAAAGAAATCTTTCAACCAACAAGGGTTACAGAGCAACGTTCACTAAAGCACAGGTTGGAAAGGATTTGGGGGCTGAAGCAGGCCAATATGGCAGCTTTTACAGATTTCCTTATACCCACAATGCACTGACAGCAAAGAATGCCTTGGTTTGGTCAGTCCACACGCTGGGCAGAGGTACAGCAGCGCACCAGAGAGGAGTAGCGGATGTTGTTGGGATTCTCTTCCCATTCCGGGGCTGTGGAAGCCGTGTCAGTCCTGCAGCCAGCGCTGGTTGATCTGACAGAACAGGCCACTGCCAACGCGCCTCGAGTCACAGCTGAACAGTCGGACTGGCAGCCCTGTCCGTGACTGAGTGATATGGCTTAGTTCAGTTCGGCCTTCCTAGTTCGTGTGTGGTTATTTTAATTCTTTTTTCCTTTTGGGATTCTAGTGGTGCAGCCTGGGTTGTGTCCCGTTTCCTGTGGCCCACTGCCGCGCGCAGTCCGAGCATGGCGCGGCTGGGCAGGGCCTCAGCAGCCGCAGAGCGCCCAGGCCATGAGCAGGGCGGGCAGCAGCAGCAGGCCAGGCCCCAGGGCCTCAGCAGCTGCAGAGCGCCCAGGCCATGAGCAGGGCGGGCAGCAGCAGCAGCAGGCCAGACCCCAGGGCCTCAGCAGCTGCAGAGCGCCCAGGCCATGAGCAGAGCGGGCAGCAGCAGCAGCAGGCCAGACCCCAGGGCCGCCGGGCCCTGGCCCGAGCTGCGGCTGCAGCCGCCCGGGTCACGCTCGCACCGCAGCTTCTCGCACAGGATGCCCGTGTAGGCCGGGGGGCACTGGCAGCGCACGTTGTTGATGCACGTTCCCCCGTTCTGGCAGTGCAGGAGCTCGTTGTCACAAACGTTCGCTGCAAGATAGTGGGGAAGGGGGGACAGAGCAGAGAATAAATGTCAGTTCATCTGCAGCAGAAATGCACCGACACCAGAATTGAAGCTCCACCTCCCTCCTCTTCCTGAGACATATGAAAAGGGGCTGTGCTTTTCCAAATACTTGGATTTCTTTTCCCCCCTTAAGGCTGTATTCTTGAAAAACCATCTAATTCACTTAACGCCACCGACTACAGTATTGATTAATTTTATATGAAGGACTATTTAATAATGAAATAATAAGAATATTAATATGTGCCTTCTGCTAATGTCTGCATCTTTATAATTATTACTAAACTGGAATTGTAGGTGGTGTATGCTATTTGAAAGCGGCGATGTATCTAGAGCTTTTGGAAACTGTGAACAGTGGTTAAAAATGCAATATGGCTTTGTGGAAGTAAAAAGATCTGCATGAGAGGGCAAGGTTTCATAATCAAGAACTGGATGTACTAATGATCTGAAAAAAATATGCAAAAAAGATAAGGCAAGCACAGGCAGGAAATTCAGCATGCTGTTGGATGGGGATTATATGGTACAGACATCTGGAAATAAAAGATAATATTATTTCCGTTATAGATCAAATATTTCATCCTAATTAGATTTGCTACTTTGGTATATAGCATCTTAAAGCTATCTTAGATATTGTAGCCTGATAATAACTTCAGAAATCAGATTTGACAAAGGAGATATGAGAAAACAATACAGGCAAAATTTTAGACCTGCATAATATTATAGCATTTGAAAAGTTGACAGCTTTACTTTGTATTGCTTAATATCAATTCAAATATTTCATGGGTGAAAATGCAGAGGTATGAGCAACATACTAATTAAACGTGTCAATCTGTGTTTTATTTCAGATGATATCACTAGTATGATATGTGTTGGATTACAGCTCTGCCTTCCACAGAGAGGCTATTTCAGTAAAGGACTTGAACCTATGATCTAGGTAGAAGGTAACAGTAAAAATTTTAACTTAGAGAATCACAGAAAAGATTATTTTGTTAAGAAGCAGACTCAACATTATGAATACCTTAGCCTGAAAATAGCTTAAATAATCCAGAATAGATAAAGTTTTGTTAATTTCATCTCAAACATTACTGTTTATTGCTACAAAGAAGTACAGTTTTGCAAATATTAATTTACTTATTTTTAAAAGCAGTCCAAAGATGACGAGAACTAAAAGTGAAATAGCTCAGGTTCTTAAGCAGTGTAGTTCTACATAAATCTGTACAATTTTGTGCACCACTAACCTCACTGGTAATCTTACCTGTCTGGATTTGCTTTCAGAAAAATAATTTTCTCACCCTAGAAAGTCTCTCCAGCAACTGCTTTCTGATATTCTGCATCCAAGTGGGCCAAATAATGCAGTATGTTGGAAACGTGTAGAGGCAATTATGAGGGACCAGTAAATCGTTATTTTTTTTTAGTGGCACCTTTAGCAATCAAGGGATTTTACTAAAGGTTATGGATTTAATATTGTTGCCCAGTTTCTGAATTGCAATGGAAAAAAATTAATATTAAGGTACAACACATCTTGTTGATAATTCTATGTCTGAATTTTAATGTTCTACACATACATTAGAAAAAACATGTAAGAAACAGTAAGTCACCACCAAATAAATGTGATGAGATTAACAACCCAGAAAATACCATGGTAACAGGCAGAAAAAATTAACTGTATTTTAAAAGTCAATATTTGCATTACATCTCTTATAACTGAGGCTATGTATCTTTGAAGTTGACTTTATTATTCAGATTGTATATATTTAGTCATCTCAGTGTGCAAAATCAAAGTACTTTATCTGATGGTACAGTACTGGATCTGCATGTTCTAGACTACTCATTGCTGGGATGCTTCCTACACCTCAGGCAGTGAAAATTGTGAAATATCTGTACATCAGTACAGACCCTTGTTTGCCTTGACAAACTCAGTGAGAGTCCACAGTTCATTAAACACTTCTTGAACAGCAGAGATGTTTCACTTGACATTTTGCCTGGAATAATTTATCCAAATTTTCTCAAGTATTAAGTAAACCATATTTTTAAAAATGTATTATAAAACAAATATCTTTCCTATTTTGAAATTTATTTTGCAGACTGTAGCCTGTTATTTGAAGAGGCCCTTAGCCCAGATCTGCTCTGTAGTTACAGGTGACTGGAGAAGTGTGTTGCTCCACGCTGGCTGTTCTGCCTGGCACACTGCCTCTAAACACTGCCATCTACAAAATTCTGGACACAATGTTATAGATGCTGATTTCTAAATCAGACCATTTCTTCCTAATTAGGAAGTTTTTGAAATGTGCTTAAAGAAGGGATGGATCTAAAGTTTCATCATTATTCTTACACGCTTCTGAATGTTTGCCCACAGGAATGCAGGTAGATTGGATTGTTCTCAGCAAAATACTGTGTAGCTGAAAATTCTGGAATTGTTGATCTTGTATTGCCACAGCTTTCCAAATTTTGTGCTTGTATCTCTTACTCTTGCACACAGACATGTATGCACATATATGTATCATGTGATTGTGAGCTGGAAGGTCAATGAAAAGAAATCTGGAAATGTCCCATTATTTTTTGCCAATTTTGTTTTAATTTTATTCTGTCCAACTCTAATACCATTTTCATATTTCTGAAAGTATGGTCAGGATTACTTTCAAAACTTTAATATTGACTAATAATTATGTGAATGGCATTAGGTACCAAGTTCTGATCAAAGAATGAAACACGGAGAAGTGACGCAAGTAAATTCTGAAATTATCACATGGAAGACTATTAAGACCTGTGTGGCTGAACTAGCTGTGGGTTTGCTAGCAGATCTTCCTTAGTTAGAAGCCAGGACATCAAACTGGTCACTTAAAAACCAAAACAGGTATCTCATTTGTTCTGGAGAGCTTTGCAGGCCTTTTTGAGGGATAGTTCTGAGCACAGTCTCCAGATCTGTGCAACTGCATGAAGTGAAATATTTAAAGTAAACAAAAGGAAATTGTTATAGAGTTATTCTCATAATTAATCAATTTACAGTCTAACTATGGTCCAATTATAGGATCCTTAAAACCCTTCACAAAGGAGACAGAAAAGAAGGCACAACATGCCTTGCCATATGTCACAAAATACTCTCGATCTTTAATTGCAACGTTAATAAATTTGGGAATGTAATAAAAAAGGAAAACAGGGGAAAAATACCCGTATTTGAGCCAGCTCAAGGGGTAGTCTTAGCCTATCATAGATGTACTAGTGTTTCATAGAATTTATATTGGGTATTAAATGAAATATCGTGAGTAACACAGCTGTTTGACAAATTACTACTTCCCTCTTAAACGTTCAAATCTGAATAATACATGAAAATTCCCGAGTCTCTCCAAAACTCAACTTTAATATCCTTGTAACTTCTTGAAAGAAAAGTTATACAGCTCTGGCTGATTTTAGTTCTGAAGCAGCAATAGAGACAGAGGAGCAGACAAGCAGGCGTTGCTGTCTTCAGTCTGGAGGGACACCTCAGGCACAGCCTTGTGCTCCTGGCTTCAAGACCTGGTTGCTGTGTCTGGGCAGCTGCAGAGCACATGCCCAGGACTTTAGGTCTGCCTGCTGCCCAGACAGAAAAACAAGATGCTACTAAGTTAAAGTTAAATACAGTTTCTTTACACTCTTGTCTTTCCCAAAGGCCATCCAAGTGGGGAGAAAATAAAATTAGTACCTTTCTTTGTGCTACCTTAATTTTTGTACAGCTTGCCTACAGTAACACCTTATTCAGGTGGGACAGGCTATTGACACACTTTTTGAGGTGGGATAGATGGTGTTCTCTTTCTGCATCAAAATCTGGATTTATGATGAAATTTTCTTTGTGGGAACAACATAAAGATCACTAATGATAAAATCACAGAAAGAAGAAAAATTATTTGAGGTCCTTGCTTCCTTTCTTGAATTCTGAAGAGAGGACCTCAATTCCAAACAATGTTTTCAATGTTCACTTCTATCACTATTTTTCTTCATTGTGCACCCTTCCTGGTATCATTTGTTACAGTCTTTTCTCTCCCTCTCTCTCTTTTTAAAACAATTCCTTCACTTTCCCGCTTTTTGACTCCCAGATCATGAGTATCACAGTCCCTGGACAGGTTGGTGGGTTGACAGCTCTGAATATATTATACAGCATATTTGTCTTTTCTAAAGCACTGATGCAAGCTTTGCCCTGACTTCTGCTGCAGTGAATTTTCCATACTGTTTGTCAGTGATTTTTGTGACTGGCACCACTGAATTTTTGACTTGGATTCCATCTATTTTTCATAATTTTGAGAGCATCCAGGTCTTGTGGCTGAAGAAATTATTCTTGGCTGTTTTCTTTGTTTTGTTTTTTCTTCTCTAATGCATTTGTTTCCTTGGTACTTCTTATTTAGTAAAGAATATTACTTGAACTCATGAATGAGGAAGATTTCAGCACACATGCTAACAAAATATTCTGTCTGTGAATAAGTGAGTAAAAACCCAGCATAGTGAAACCCATGTTTGCAGTAATGATGTTTATAGGTAGCTCCAACATATGCAGTGGCTGTCTATATATAGACACTGAACAGCACATTGAAATGCCATGAAAAAATTGGGAGGTTTCATCTCGCTGCATAAATAAGGTCAGTAAATCCAGGCCAAGCACAAGCGATTTCTTGTCAAATGCAGAATTAGTTCCTGTAAATACTATAAGGAAGCTGTAACTAACATGCATTATTCTCTAAAACTGTGATAATTTAATCAATAAATGGTAAAAACAATTTCAGAATATAAAATAAATTGCACTGAATGGAGCTTGTTGAGTATGCCTAATAAGAATGTGGGCATCTACACATACATACATAGCAAGAAAACCTCTGCACTTGTGACAGTATTAGCAATATTTTCCCCATAATTTGTCAAATTGGCAGAAATGGAATTGGGGAATGCAAAAGACATAGTCTCATTCAAATGCAAAGGTGTGAAATTCTTTCCAGTTGTATCCAGTTGCATGTTCCAGTTGAACACAAGTGACCACAATCAAAATATTTCAAACTGCCAGAGTCAGCAACGAATATGTTCATTATTTGGAAAAAAAATCCTAAAAATACAATATATACTTGCTGTGTGTTGAAGATCTCTATGTGGAACTCCACTGACTCATGAGATCTCACCCACATAGCCTAGATGTCAGGTTAGAGGATAAAAGGGCATGGGGAAAGCATCAGTAGTCAGGCTTCTCCTGAAAGGTTACAGCTACTGCTGTTACAATTCGTGTTGCACAGCACATGACAAAACTTCAAGTTTTTATAGGTTAAGTATCTTACTCATTTGCATAACCAGTGAGTAATAACTGAGTTGAAGGCTTTGTCACTAAGATTTATTCCCCTGCCTGTCTTCCAATTAGAAGTACTTATTTTACTTATTTTATTCTAATTTTTAGAATTTAATTTATCATTTACATTAATACCATGAATATGTATCAGTGTTGATCAGATTTCTTCAGTGCTTTGAATCCACAAACATACCTGATATGAAAACCAGCTACTGCTCTTATAAATGAGATATTCATAATAATTTCTTTGTTTGGAAGTGACACTAATTCAACATTTGCTGTAGTAGTAAAACTATCTTAGGAGACTGTCAAATCAAGACAAGGCAGATGCTTTGATAGCATGAAAATAAAACAGGTTTGCACTTATCTACCAAAGCACATTGTTAAGTTAAGACAAAATAAATCACTGCAGACAAGTACAAGCCTAAAGCATATCTTACTGTGTCAAAATTATGGTCACAAGATGACAAACATTAATACAAAGATTTCTGGTGCAAAGTTGAAACAATGTTGTGATTAATTATATTGCCAGCAATACAAGGAAATAAACATTGACCAAGTGAGAGTAGTTCCTAAAGGCAGACATCTCCATCTTGACTTGTCTTAGAAATGCCTGTTAGAAGCACAATTGAAATGACGCTTGATTTTTTATCAAACCAGTTTAATTAAGTTATCAGGGAGTAAATTAATAGGGGAGTAATGGAGATACTGTGTTCACTGAAAATTTCCAGTACAATTTTTAGATTGTTTGCCTACATATAATTTCTTTCTGCACAACCCGCAGTTCAGAGCCAAGCCAGTTCTAATCAAATTGCAGGCAAAGTCTTCAGAGTTCCTACAGGAAGATGTAGCTATTACTCAGAGTTCTGCCCAGCACACAGCCAGAGAATGGATGGTGATTCCTCTCTCCTGCAAATAGGCAGCAATTTATCCCAGCATCCACATGGGTAAGCTTAGTTGATTATGTCTCACCACTGAACGTGCAAAATCCTGTACAGAACATGTGGGGGGTTTTAACCACCATATGAGAATATCAGAGGTAGAAAGTTACTGTTTTTCACTGTTGTGTCTGAGCTTTCTCATTTTTCATATCTATTCTTAATCTAAAATCCTTGGGTTTAATTAATACAAAATAATGAGAAGAAATACATCTAACCTGTCAAAAGGACACGAGGGACAGTTTTGGAATTGATACTCTTACATGATAGCCATAGTAGCTTTGGTAGAAACTGCACATGATTGTGTATTAAAACGGATGAAAACAAATCCAGATTTAGTTATCTAAGAATTATAGTTGAACTAATACCTTTCAATCTTCCTGGGTTTCAGGAAATGAATGATTTAACCTTTCAGTTTTCTGATTTTGATGGTTCCAATTTTATAGTTCTACAAAAGAGGATGATTCCCAAAGTGAGGGGAAGAAAAATTTCCCTATTTTTTTATTGCTTTGCTTATGAAGGAGTACCACTGAATTGGTATGACCCTGATCATACTTTAGGGTAATCTCAGGAGAGAAGTAAACTACATATCAGCTTTAATTGCTCAAAAGAGACTACATACCCCTATCATTCACATTCCTCTTACAAAGCTGTAAACGGCAGTGTGTTATTTCTCCTTGCCTGGAGAAAAATGAACATTTTTACATGATCTGTCTTCTCTTTCCTTAACTAGGAAAACAAGCAGTTATAACTACAGAGTTGTTGTTTTTTTTCTTCTATTGCTAACAGCAAGGTCAGGGTTTAGGTGTAACCATTATCAACAAAAACTGGTTAAGCACAAAAAGTGCTCAGATGTAAAAGATGAAATAATCAAGAGGCCCTGTGAATGATGGGGGGATGGGATTTGGTTCTCTAAATACAAGCAGCTACTGGCATTAGCTGTGCCAGAAGGCATTTCAGACATGTACATGGAACTGGCTAGTGTGTCCAGGGGCTCTGGGAGTTTAAACTGGGGAGCACTGCTGGGAGGCCTGCCAGGGGCTCCTGGCCCTGGGGCATGGCTTCCCTGCTCCAGCTGAGCACTGCAGCCTGTGCCTGACCCC